TTATACCCTTTATATTATTTAGGGTTATACATAGGTGAAAATGTAAATTTTCTAAATTGGGTGGGGTAGTTTGGTCATTTTATTACAATGTGACATCATAAATAAATATTAATAAAAAAAACCAAAAGCAGTTTTTTACCAACTTTTCAAATCACTTCCCAAAAAAGCCAAAAAACTTGGTAAAAAGACAAAAAGCTATCTTTTTACCATCTTCCCAAAACACCATTGAATATAACTGTGGGCACAACTCTGAAAACTCCATCTCAATAAAACTTCATGGAATCCATAATAGTAATCCGAACTGCTCATCTTGTAGACATCCAAAAGAAAAATAATAGGAAAAAAAAAGTATAGAATTTGATCCTACTAACCAAACAAACCCTAAATTTTTATTTTTATTTTTATTTTTTTTAATTTAAACTCCGTTCTTTAATTCATAACAATCTTAGCCATCTGTTTGGTTCGATGTATTATAAACTAACAAAAAAAAAGTAATTTAGTCTTGTTATCCATGGTTTAATGGTTTATTTGATCCATTCATTCATTTTTCACCTTTTTTCCCCGAGTAATTCTACTTACACCGTACTTCTAACTCTTTACATTCTGTAATTTAACTTAATTTTTATTAAATTTCTATTCCTATCTAAAATTACCAAATAGACATATCATCCCCAATTTGAAAACCTAATTTTTCATTACACTTCCATCCCATCACTACCGCCTTCATCGGCCCACCACCATCACCGCCTCTCCGTCACCACCCTTCTCCTCCACCCAGCTCCTCTCCACCTCACCCATCTCCTCTATTGCTGCCCCTCCCTTCTACCCAACCCCTCCTAGCAACCACCCCTACCTAATCCCTTACCATCGATCGCATGTTTTACAAACTATTTGTAGGTGGTCTAAAATGAATAGTAATGATAACATCACTTAAAGAGGCAAAGTTATGTTAATGGGTCAACAATCTGGGAAGGTTAGAGAGTGAGTAGCTGGGTAAGGGTAGAGCAAGTGGCTCAAGAAGAGAATGTGGCAATGGAGAAATGGGCAGCACCTCCCCAAATCCCTCAAAGTTCTGCTCAAGAGTTCTCTTGAGAGTGTTATTCTCTTGGTCCTTTTCTTGAGCTCTCATACCTTGGGAAAGTGGGTCTATTTATAGGTTTTCCTTTGGTACTAAGAGTACCATGTGGCCAAATAAAGTGATGACATGTGTCCAAGAGGACACATAGAATATTCCATTTCCTGCACCACCAAGCTTTGGTAGACACATATCCTTTTAGATGTATCTTTTTGGTATTAACCTTAACAATTGCCACTATACTATCTATTTGGCACGAATCCTCAAGAAGTACCTTTTTGGTGTGAACCTCAGCGAATGTCGTTTTAGTATGGACTACAGGAGGTGCACCTACTTCGATGGCACTCTCTACGATGGTATTTATGTTGTCACCCACCTTCTCAGTTCGCTTTTCCAAAGCATGCATTCTCAGGACTCATGACCTGTTATCAGTCATACTTGTGTCTACCTTAGCGACTCATCTACCCTTAGTTGCCTAACCACAAACTTCTCAACTTTCCAAGGCGAAGGCAACAACTAAGCCTAATATCATTCGAGTTGTGCCTTGATACCAAGCTCAAGAGGGCTTCCTTGGTCTTACTAATGCGACTAAGACAGGTCCATGACTTGGGTAATAGAAATGAAGTCCTTTGCTTTCAAGTTGCCCTGCTTTTATCTTGTTAGAGTCACCACAGTATACTGGCATCTCAGGACCTTGCTATCAGCTCCAACCAATAAGCTTTGGGGCCTGCTATCAGCGCTAAGCTGTGAGCTTTGGGGCTTCCTATCAGCACCGAGCTAGAGCTTCGAGGCCTGCTATTAGTGCCGAGCTAATAATGCTTTGGGGCCTGCTATCAATGCCAAACATTAGTCTCTGTTTGTCAATAGGAGGCCTTCCTCGAAGGCTACTATCACCTTGGAGAGTCTTTGCTTCAGAATTTGGTTACAGAGGTTGCAGTCACCTCGGTTACTCTGTCCTCAGCAAGTGTACTTCAAGTAGTGTCTCAAAGACGGTGGATCAATGACCTTTTAGTGAGATGGCGACACTGAGGTAGGTTACCTCAGCTACTAGACCGTGACAAGTACTGCCTCTGCAAGTTCCCTCAAGTACCTTGTCGTAGAGGGTCTATTTAGATCCAGTGGGTCAGACATGGTTTGGCCTTCTGATTAGCCCATTTTCCTTAGGGTTTTGCCCAATTCCTTTAATCATAATTTCTCCTCTAATTAAGGTGACCTCGGAGATTAGATCAAGACTTAGGATTTTTGTCTCTCTACATCATTCAATTATGGTTCGCCAAACACATGACCATTATCTGGCAGTAGGTTGCTGAACATGCAAAGTTTATCTAGTTGTAAGATGCCAAACATGATGAGTTTGTACGTTTCGCAATAGGGGTCATCGAATGGCCCGTGGGCAAAAAAGCCTAGTATTATTGAACTTGTTCCATGGCTCGTCCTAGCCCGCTTGACTGCCCAGCCCATCCCATTCCATAGAAGATGATTTAGGGCTTTGGACAAAGGTTTGAAACCCAAGCCCGCACATGAAGCCATCCTGTCCAACAACATTTAACAACTCGTATTATCCTTGTAAATTGTACTTTTAAAAAAAAACACAAAAGACCATTTGTTAAAGTTGAATTTGACATGGCCAGTGATATCTTCCTAACTCTCAGCCTTTTACATATACCATTTTCATAATTAGTTAATTTTGTGAATTTATACTTTAATTTGATTGTTTCAATAGTATTAATCAATCCAATCATATGAATTATTAAAAATAAATAAATAAATGTGTAGAACTTAATAATATAAGTCTAATAAAAAAAATATGTAAACCGGTTCAGTTTAATTTGGCCCATAAGATTTGGAATTACAGGTGGGATGTGGTTTTAATTTTTTTAAATAAGCCTAGCCCATACTAGCCCATTAACTAGTCAAAACCCAAAAAATTCATTAATATATGGGATGTAGGCACAATAGTTGGTTCGGGTAAGCCCAACCCCGTCTCCCCCTATTTGGCAATAGATGTAAAGGTGTTTCATTTTTGTTCAGTAGTTATTGTACGTGTGATTTAGTTTTGTTTAACAGTGGGGCTTCAAATTGTTTAGTTTTGTTTAGTTCTAGTGCACCGAGCAAAAGCTTAATAACCATCTCTGACCACCATGAGCCTCTCTTCTCACTACGATAGTTATGGGTTGTAATGACAATTGGTCGCGGTAGTAAAATATGTAGATGGAGTGGTTGCGGTGGTGGTGATGGTCGCAGTAGTAGAGTGACAGAGGGAGTGGTGGTTGCGACGGTGAGGGGCTATGAAGGCAGTGGTCATAATAGTAGTGATGGTCGTAGTAGTAAGATGATGGACGAAGTGGTAGGTATAGTGGGATGGTGGTCAATATTTTAGGGTTTTGAGTGTAAAGAGAAGAGCGTATGATAGGGGATGAGAGTATGAATGGAACTACAAAAATTGTGACAAAATAAAATAAAATTTTGAGGATGTGAGGAGTTAGTTTCGTGTTGTAAATAGGATTAGTCTCTTCTTCATCATACATCACCAAAACAACTTCCACCATTGTACCACCACCAAACCACCCCTCCCGTCTCCTTTCCCAGCCATAGCATCACCCTCATGCCCCCCTTCTCAAAGCGCCCTTACTATAACCTTCTTCCACATTTGCCACTCCGCCATCTCATTTAGCCACTCCACCATCTCATTTAGCCACAACCACACCAAGCCCTTGTAGAAGTACACTATCACATTTACTATCACCACAAATCTCATCAAAAGTTAGGGAAATCAATCTAATATTGTTGAGATGACGCCTTATCATTATCATTATCTCCAAATTCCTTTAATCAAATAGTTGAATTACCACAAATTTCATCAAAATTTAGGAAAATCAATCTAATATTGTTGAGATGATGCATTATCATTATCCTTATCTCCACATTCTATTAATCAAACAGTTGAATTTCAAACTAATGCAAATTTGATACATACACACAACATTGTCACATTAGCATTGTATGTAGTATATATATCTTGTAATTCATCATTCTATTCATTAATTGAGAGCATACAAAAGTGTTTTGTTTATTAGATTAGTTTTTAGTTGATTTCACATTTAAATAAAATAAAAAATAGAGGGGCTGAGATTGCTATGACATTTAAAAATGAGGGTTTAAATTGAAGAAATTAAAAACTCAGCATTTGATTTGAAACTAGGATCAAATTCGAGAATTTTTTTTAATCAAACTATTTTTTTGTATATTTATTCTTTTCTTCAAGTCCTATAAGAGAAGATCACCGTCATGAGTCCCTTAGGACTTTAAAGTCTTAAGGAAACTCTCATTATTTTGTGAATTTTTTTATTTTTTTTTTACAGAAAATTTGTGAGAAGTCCAATTTAAAAAGGGTGAAAGACATTAAGCCCATTGGGTATTTTATTTTGGTGAGAAGTACACTCTTTATAAAATATTATGGTGAGAAGTTCATTTTGTTATTTTCGAAGACATTTTGTTTTCAATTTTACCCTTTTAATTTTTATTAACAAGTATCTGTTGAAATTTTTATTTTATTCTATATGTTGAAATATGTCTTAATTTTTTCTTATCTGTCCAAATTATTTTAATATTTTAATCTATTTGTTGAATTTACCAAAGCTTACTTCTCCTATTTGTTGAAATATTTTTTTATCTGTTCAATTTTTTGATAGATCAAATCCTTTTTGAACATATCAGATCCTCCTATCTGTCAAAATTTTTGTTTTATCTATTCCAAACCTAGCTCTCTCTCTCTCTCTCTCTCTCTCTCTCTCTCCACTAATCCACTTTCTCTCTTGTCATGACCCAAACCCGCCCCCATAGGTTTAGCATCGTAACCGGTCAGTAATCCTTGGATTGCCAAAGGCCTCTAAATAGATTAACAAAATAAGGGGCTAGCGGAAGCATTTATACAAACATATGATGTCCATAGAGCTGTGCAGACATATATGGGACAATAAAATTAAAGACTTACATTCACATATATGTGACGTCATAAATACGTCATCCTTACAGCACCAAAAAGTGGATAAAACAAAACTAGACTTAGCTCTTTTATACAGTCTACATAAAAGTCTTGTCCTAAAGAGGAAAATGATAAAACAGACACCACGTGCACTTGACTTGGACGCTTGAACACTTGAGAACCTCCCCGGGAGGCACTATGGTTAGCTTGACAAAATAGAATTCCAGGCAACAGCTTAAGCCTTGTCCCGCACCTGATCACCTACATACACAAAGAATATAGTGCATTGGAGCCCAATAAATAATCAACAAACTAAAGGGGTTTATGATTGATGTCCAAAACAGGTTTAGATTCACATGCTCATACAAATTTCATAAGCAGTTATACGTGACACATCCATTAGCCAACGGATCAGATTGGTCATAAAGACCCACGTGCATAGTCGGTACCGTCGACCATATACTACAACAAAAAAAGGTTTTTACGGTGCGCAATGCATACCGTAAAAACCCTTCTATGACGTGCAGCGCGCATCATATTATGACTAGTCATGGAAAGTCATTCACTTTCAACGACATGCTTCGTACGCCGTTAAAAACTATTTAACGGCAGATTTTGTGTGTCGTTGTTACTTTTTCTATGACATGCTATAGCACGCCGTTAAAAATTATTTAATGGCAGATTTTGTACGTCATTGTTACTTTTTCTATGATTACTTTCCACGCCGTTAATTGGTGAGACAAATAACGACGCTGATTGTGCGTCGTAAAATATGTAATACAACGACTTATTATGCCTGCCGTAGAATATGTAATTTTTTTTTTAATTTTTAAATTCAACAGGTTCTATTTGACAAATTTTGTACAATCTAACAAATATTACAAACAAGCATTCACAAAACATCAATCAACCACCAAAATATTGTTTGAAACATCACAAAGAAACTATATCCATAAATTATAAACATTTAACAATTGTCTATACATTCCAAATATTCAAAAATTATATCCTTAAGTTCTAAACTGTACAAAAAGTTTAAATCATCCAAAACTATCCATATCTAACTTTCTAAACATATCAACAACTATTAAAAGATTGTCTAAAACTACCGACAACAATTCCTATAGCAGTTGTTGCTGCAGCTGTAACAAATCCACTTCCTCCTATTACAGGGACGAGGGTGCCTAATGTAAGTGTTAAGGCACCTAAACCCGCGGCTATAGCTGGAACAACTAACCCTGTTGCATTTCTTGTCTGCATGACAAAGGAAACTTTACATAAGCACAAAACCGACTCAAGGACAAAAATATTTCTTGAGGAATTATTTCTTGTTACACCACTCATCCAGCCCAACATTCTCATTTCAATTTATTTCGTTTACTAAACATGTTATTTCTTAACTGCCAATATTCAATACAATATACATCATAACAAGCCTAGTAATAGTCCCACAAAATTGTCCCTTCAATCTAATAGGAATGTTAATATCGTATAACACTCTTGATCTGATGTAGTAAAAGCTTTTACTTCTCATATATAAAAGATATGAGAAGTAAAACCTTAACTTCAAAGACTATAACAAAATGAACACCAAGGACTTCAAGAAAGGAAAAAAGCTTCAAAACAAAACCCATAGTAAGGGATATACCTGTTCAGGATGAGACATGCGGCATCCAAGGATAGAATTCTGTATTGTATCTGCACTTACTGCATGACCTCCAACATTGTAGGCAGCCTAGATTAAATAAAATTGTAAAAAACTGAAATCCAAGTTGAAATTTCATAAAAGCGAAACCAAAATGAGCTCTTCAAAAAAAAACACAAACTCTACAAGTGATCTGTAGCATTCACTATTTAGATATTTAGCAGCACACTTTTTTATACATGTTTTTTGTACAAAAATTGTGCCATTTTTCAGTGTTTTTTAATACAATTTATTTTACTTATCAAAGAAAATGTGTCTTAGACAATAATCATAGATTACTAAAATCTACTTGTTTCCTAGATTTTGCATTATCATTAATAATCCCAAGATGCATGTAAATTACAAATTAATCCATTTTAAGAGTCCAAACCTGCTAAACAGAAATTTCACAAGACATTATATGCTTCCTATGAGGCTGTTTGGTACCAGCTTATATGAGCGATTACAAAAGTATAACAAACCATTTCACATGATAATGACTTAGACTGGAATTTACCACCAGCTCTTAGCCTAAGTGATATGAGTATCATCATCTCTAAATCTGGGGGGCCAAGGTTCAACTCCTGATTGGACATATGTTGTGTATCTTACTAAAATACATATATAGAAATAACTAAATAATTACTTGACCTAGAATATTTTTTTTTATTTTTAAAAACAAATTAATACTTATTCTGGCAAGTATTAACAAAATCTTCTTTTTGTTTTGACACCATGCAATGCAGGAAAAAAAGTGGCAAAGATTATCCACTAACTTTTGTTTCAAAATAGCGAACTTTACCTAGGTAAAACCTACTAGGGAGGAAGCCCAACAATTATGCCTCCCTGCATCTTGAATTCATATTTATTTCATAGCCTGATTGGCAGGCTGTTACTCCCATCTAACACTTTATGGGATGGCTGATACAAAACTAGTTATTGCAAGGTTATGGGGATGAGTAGAAAGCCTAACAATACTTGCTCCTATATTATTTACAAATGTCTATTATTTCCATAACCCATACTTGTGAGGTTTTTGGCACAACATTGACCACATTTCTCTAAAAATACCATACTTTAAACCACAAAATAAGGGTAAGCAAAGATAAACATTTAGGTATTAACATAGAAATTACGCGAAAGTAGTGTATCCAGTACCAGCATTAGCAGCACTTAAGAATGCTGCATGTGCACCAGCTACAGATAAAGAATCCTACCCTCCAAGAGGCAGCAGATTTCTTCGATCACCATCCACCTAAAAATTACTGATCATTACTTGTATCTTTACAACAACAAAAAATATAGCGCTCATAGAAGCGGGCCAATTGAGCCCAGTTTACTATATGTGAAGATCACAACCTTATCCCACTTTGACTTCTTATTTTACCTGCCATCCCGAGTCACAGAATCAACTGCACCTAGAACTGGATGTAACCCACCAGCAACCACATTTATTGCACCTAAAACAATAACAATCCACAAAAAAAAAATTGGTTGTAATGACATGCTATGCAGACCACCAACCATAAATTTAAAAACAGAAAAAATCAAGTTATAGGTGATTTCTAGACCTGAAATTGGAATATTAATTTTTGGTGCCTGTGCAACCACTCCATGTTGTGTTCCTCCTATAACAAATTCAACCTTTTGATTTTTCTTCTTTTCTTGCTCCGTCCTCTCCATTTCATGCTTTATGTCAACCTCTACTTAAAAACATAGAAACCATGAGTGACTGGATTTTATGTTTAACAGAAATATAATAGCATTAGCAATAAATTAGACATTGTCAAATAAGGAAGTTCATGTAGAGCTATACAAATTAATAAACTAAGGTTGCACATGAACTATACTATTCATGACATAGTTCAGGCTTTGCTCAGCAAAGGCAGATTGAAACTCATCAATTAGTGTTGATAAAAACAAAGCTGAGGCCATATAAAAAAATAAAAAAAAAAGACACACACACACACCTCAACAAAGCATAAATTTAAAGAAGTGGCAATAATTGCAAATCAGTTGTCTCAAGTTGAAACCATCTTGGTGCTTCACATAGTCCAGTTTGTAGTTATTTTAGGATCTTATTATATGACTAGTGAGTTTTAGATTAATCTGATAACTTAATAAGTCTTTAAGTCTATGAACTTGACTCTTCCAATTCAATGGAGAAACTTGTTAGAAAATTTATGAATTTTTAAAACTCTCTTGAAATTGTGCAATGCAACTATAACCTTAGGTTGATTCCTAGAATATTCCTTTTCTTAACATTCTACACCTTTAACCTTTAAAATTCAAAACCATATCCATGTCAAGCTTATTTCCCCAGCCCTAAAATTCCTATATAACACAACCCCAATCTCTTACCTACCACAATTACTCAACCTTAGGGTCTAAAAGAACATAAATGACCACTGTTATTACTCTCATGGTACTACTGTTCACAACCATTGAACAACCACTAAACTTCATGTCACGACCCGAACCCACCCCTATGGGTTAAGGCCATAACCGGCCAGTAATCACGAGATTACCTACGACCTCAAACCAAATAAGACAAAACTCATCAGAGTAAAGGGGCCAAACGGAAGCAAATTTAAAACTTTGTCCATAGAGCCGTGCTTAAATGCACATCATAACATTCCACATTCACATATGTTAATAACTCACAATAGAAAGTATAGTAGCATAAGGTTTTGTACAGACAGGATCATTCAAATCTAAGTCAGCCAAACAAAACTATACACAGACGTACTCAAAGACTTCGCCAACATGACAATATAAAACAAAACGACAAAAAGGCAAAGATGAGTCTCGTGCGTGAGACGCAAGGGCTGACTCTTCAAAACCTTTGCTATTCCACACAAACTTCACTGGGGCTGGGTCACTGGGGCTGGGTTTGGACTTTTCTTGGCTCACCTACAAACCCATGAATGAGCGTGAGCGATAGCCCAGTGAATAATATCAAATAAAGAAGTTATACAAACGATATGTAGAACAACATGCTCCAAACGGCCTTGGGCCCAATTCATATTTCTATGTAACATGTATATACACAATTTAAGTCAAGTGGCTGCAGTTCCAAACATACTGGCCTTTGGCCATTTATCTTTCCATATCAAACTGGCCTTTGGCCCATTCAAACTTTCATTTATATCAAACTAGCCTTTGGCCCATTCAAATGACAAACTGGTCTTTGGCTTATTCATTCATTCATGTCAAAACGGCCTCTGGCCCATCTATTCATTCTTTGTCAGAACGGCCTTTGGCCCATCCATTCATTCTTTGTCAGAACGGCCTCTGGCCCATCCATTCATGTCAAAACGGCCTCTGGCCCATTCACTCATTCTTTGTCAAAACGGCCTTTGGCCTATTCATTTATGTCAAATTGTTATTCGTGTCAGATTATCATTCGTATCAGATTGTCATTCGTATCAGACTATTATTCGTGTCAGACAATCATTTGTGTTAGATCATCAGACTATCATTCGTGTCAGATCATTTGTATCAGATCATTATTCGTATCAGATGGCCTTTGGCCCAATACATAGCATAACAGATATTTGTCCCCAATTTAGTATAGCAACTTACAAGACTTATATGAAAGTAAGCAATTGGACAAATAATGTACTTCAGATATCTTTATTAAGATATTACTCACAGTGATCGGCTGATTGATCTGCCCTGGAGCTCGACCCTACACATACCATGAACACAAAAGGGGTCACTAACAATTCAATCCGTTCTTAAATTCACATTTTCCTCTTTAGGCTTTATTCTTATCTCTTTAACTCAATTACAATGCTCAATGCATGCCTAAGAGCACTTAGAAGTGAAGGAGAACGGAAAACGAAACACAGAACGCATAGACAAAATTTCAAAAAATATGGTCGCCGCTTGAGCGTGGACTTCCCCGTTCGAGCAGACCCAATTGGTCTGCAAAAGTACTGGTTGCATCAAATTCACGCTCGAGCATGAATTTGACGTGAACTCGGGTGCTCGAGCGGAAGGTCTGTCTACATAGCTCCCCGCTCGAGCGTGGACTTCCCCGCTTGAGCGGACCCATGCCTGCAAAAAAAAAATAAATATTGGGAGCATGAATTTTCCGCTCGAGCGTCGATTCCCCCGCTCGAGCGGACATCATAAATTCTGGGTTTTCCAGAATGGTTTCTTGAGTTCAATTTCGACATTTCAACCACACTTCTTGCATATTATGGCTCTAATTTCACACATACATATACCCACATGATACCAACACCAAATCATAACACAATGAAGCTCCATTTCTTGAATTACTTACATGCATGCCTTAAATTAACCCAAACTCATCACCAATACAACAAATTCAAACATGCAAAGCTCATACCTCCATGATCTACTCTTTCATGTGAGAAATATTCATTCATATCAACTTAATTGGTGAAGAGATGATCAGATACATGGATTTCAAATAAGATTCAACATAGATTATACACTTTGTGTTCAAATATGGAAATTCATAGTAACTTCCTACATGCATGCATCTATTGACTTTAAATTCAACACATACAACTCAAATTATGTCAATTCTCACTCTTGATTACCCAACTAGCTTGAATACACATAATCACAAGTCCAAACTTATGAATCAAGGGATGATTACTCACCTAGGAGCTTAATCCTTACAATCTATGGTAAATTCTTGAGTGTGCCTTCAAGATCACCAAGCTTTGAGGCCGAAACTTCAATTTTCCTTCACCCTCTCTCCCCCTAGCCAACCCTCTCCTTTTCTTAGTGTTTATGATTAGCCAAGTAAAGCTTAAAGGAGAGAAATTGGGTGTGTAGTGCCCATATTAAAAGACCCTCTTGTTATATTATTTTAATATCAAATAATAGAGCACTACGTCACTAATTAAATCAATTTAATTTGATCCGAATCAGTTTTCAATTAAATTTCACCGTAGGCTCTAAAAATTATGCCAATTACAATGGCGCAATCAATTCCGGGTTCTGTGGCCGATAAGGCCTTCGATTTAAATTTCAAAGCAGATAATCAAACAAATATTCCTACGATGAACAGATGGAAATTCAAAACCACATATTCTCTCATAATGGCACACAAAATCATATTAAACACACAATCATACTCATATTAAGGACCAATTAACATATTATGGAACAGGGGTATCAGACTTCATCTATCCTTTATTTCATTAATCACTCAAAACTTTACCCTTATATTATCACATAAAACCCCTAACAGTCAATATTTACCAAATTTCAGTAGCAAAACTACATATTATTCAATCCTAAATAAAGACCACTGCTGCCAACACTAATTTTGGCATCAGACTTGAATTAGTACGAGTCAACTAAACACAGACACATCAGTATTATCGAGACAATGTAAGAAAATGTGCTCAAACTGAATTGAGTTCAAGCTTGGCTAAACAACTCTGATGACCTAGGTCAAACAAGAGTATTTGCAATTCTATTGGAGTGGACATGGGCAACCTTGAAAAAGATGATGTTTTCAATAATAAAGTTTAAAAATGGATGAACAACCTTTAGTGATTTAGTTGTCCATTAAGGAAGAAGCAAAACAGGAAAACTCTTCCAGCACTGCATCATGACCAGGTATGAGGGTGACATCTACCTTCAATATATATTGACAAATAAATTTTGTCATTTTATCTATGCATCAAATTACTAGCAACAGAAATCTTAGTAGCAGGAATCATGGAAGGGACTTATGTTTCTGCACGCATAACCTAATTTTATCAATTATATGCAGAGAAATAAAATGTATACTAACGGGTTAATTCAATTTTCAATAACAAGTGAAGAGTTTGACTATTGCTTCGGCATGTATAACCTACTTTGGTTTGTCTGTTAGGGACACAAGAGATCTGAGAACACCCGCATTGATCTTGTCAGTAAGAACACCTTTTTCTGAAATCAAGAAGGACTTCTCCTTCACATAACTTTATAGTTTCTTTGCATCGAGGTCAATTTGTGCTTGATCTGCATTAAATCATGGACAATATTTAAGCACCCAAGGTTCAAGAACTAGAAAGACAATAACGTATTTGGAGAATAAGTAGGGCCAAGAAAGATGAAAAAAAATATTGTTCATAATAAGCCATACCCAACCAAGTTCTAATCATCCTTACAGATCTACAACCTACATTATCAATGCTCTCAATTATTACATTGACCTCTAAGACATTTGGCATCCATGTTAATTACCATTCCCTTAATTTTTAGTTTTAGAGGAAACTCCCCTGCACCAACATCACTAGCAATCTCTTTGTTGTTCTTGCTCAAAATTCTTGCAACAGTTCATTACCAACAAAGTTGTGGGATTATTTTCAATGTCTAAAACAGCTGGAGCACCTAACGTTTCATTTCCCTTAATGGATTAAATAAATAATAATAGTTTGACATGTATGCAAATTAAATAAATAAAGCAAATAAAATAGTCTGAATTTTCAAAGAAGTTCTACTTGTACATTGTGACATTTGATCAAATACATAGCATACATAAAGAGAAGTTAAGGAAATCTAAGAAAATAAAACCCAAACAGAGAGAGAATAAAGATATACAAAGGGGCAATCAAAACACAAAGCAATCATAAAAAGGAAATGAAACAAAACATTCAAAACCAAACTAAGAGAGAGAAGATGAAAACTATATTCATAGCCAAAACCAAATCAATAGAGAGAGATAAAGAAGAGATCAAAAATATTTCATGATGTTTCTCAATGTCTGTCCCTAATTCTTGAATACTCGAAGAGATAATGGCGGCGCTAACGCTAGTTCGGAGATACGATGTCGGTAGTAGCGCTAAAAAGGGAGAATGGGCAAAGTCGGTGGTGGTGCTGAAGAGGGGTAGTTGAGGTAGAGAGCGAGGAAGGCAGAGAGTGAACGTGTGTTTATCAATGTCTGTCCCGCTTCCTACTACTACCAATACAATCTTTCTCAAACTTCTTCCTCTTTCCATCCCCAAAATCATCGTAGTCTGACTCTTCTCTCATAAAATCCCCCAATTCTTCCGCATCATCCTCTTCTTCGATTCCAAAATCAGGAGTGCTCTCCTCAGCCGTCGTGTTCTTCTTGATGAGTCACTTTCGAGGCTTTGACTTCACATCTGAATCGTTGTAAATTGGGGTCGGAGAGGGGCTTTGAGGGAAATCGAAGGGCCTTGTAGAGAGAATGGAAGTGGATGATTTGAGAGGGGTTTTAAGAGAGAGAAAGAGAGAGAGGGAGAGAGAGAGAGAGAGAGAGAGCCTTTTTTCTTTATCTTCAAATGGGAATTTTCTCTCAAATTAGGGCTCAAAATGGTGAAGTGAAGTAGATCAACGCTAGGAAGATTGAGGGGTGAGGGACAGATCAGAGATGAGAAGGGTGAGGATGTAGATCAGCAATAGAGGAGCATCGATGGTAAGAGTTTTATTCCATTAGTTGCTTTCATTAATGTTGGGGCTGGAGTTGTATATGTTCTTTTTCTAATATATATATATATATATATTTGGTGAATTGGCGCTACAAAATTTCATTTTGGCACCTTTTTATTTTTATTTTTTATCATACAATTCACAACATGCATTGTACATCGTAAAAAGGCAATACTTTTAATGGCAGGCGATGTGTGTCGTAAAATGTGCAATACTTTTAACGGCAAGCATTGTGTGCACCGTGAAAAGTATTCACTTTTCACGGCTAGCGTATGTGCGTCATTTATAATTAATGTATAATGGCACGCCATATGCATGTCGTAGAAAGTTTGTTATTTACGGCGTGCATTGCAAGCCATAAAAAAATCATCGTTATTACCATTCATGGCCTATGCAATAGATGAGCCATGGTTAGAAAAGTCTTTACAACGTGCAAAAAAAGCAAGTCCTAAAAGTGAGAATCCACGGCAAGCATTTATTGTATGCCGTTGATGTGGTGCCGTAAAAAGTCAGTTTTGTTGTAGTGATAAAGGTCAACATCTTTGTGCGGAAATAGCCATGGTATTGTTACCCCCAGGCAAGGGCCACGTGAATGTAGGCCTTGATATTTTTACCCTCAAGGGCCAAATGAACGTAGACCATGGTATTGTTACCCATAGGCAAGGGCTACGTACATATTGGTCACAGTATTGTTACCTTCGAGCGAAGGCCACATGAACGTATGTCACGGTATTGTTACCTTCGCGCGAGGGCCATGTGAACTAAGGATGCCACAAATACATTTTAGAAAAAACTAGACAATCATTTATGATTCACAAATAGCATTTCATAAAACAGATCATATCATTTCAGTCAGAAAATACTTATAATCAAACATAACTTTACAGAGTTGTTACTCACAGTAGCTCAGCTAACAGAATAGATCACTTGGACAGAACATATCGATCAGGCAAGTGCTAAGACGTGACCTACACAAACACATGACAGATACACTTGAACATTTGCCCCAAAAGTGCTTAACTTATCGTTCTTCTCTCTTAACGTGTGCATCTAACTCTTATCATCATTATTGTTACTTAATCATGGCCTAAGAATTCCATAGATGTAATGAGGATGCAAGGATACACTTGGAAAACACTTAATAAAATTTTTGAAACAGGGCAATTCACTCAAGTGTGACTTTGATCGCTTGAGCAAACCCCTTGGTCTGCAAAACTTCTGGGAGCTCTTATTTTACACTCGAGCACAACTTTGGTCACTTGAGCCAAGGCTCAAAAATAAGAGTGGTCGCTCGAGCGCAAGTTCTGACGCTCAAGCCAACCCTCAACCCTACAAAAGTACTAGGAGCTCGCATTCTTCGCTCGAGCGCAGCAATTCTAGAATTTCTAGATTGCTCTCTAAGCTCCAAACTTCAATTCCAAAACTCCAAAACACATTATTTTAGGGAAAAACTTAAGAAAACACTTGTAAACTTGTAAAACATTATGAATTAGATATCATTTCTCAAAATCAAGGCTCAAAAGCAAGTGAATTGTTCAAAGTCAAACTTGAAATTGTGAAAACATAACACGCATGACTTGTTATGAACTCAAACCTTCCAAAACATGATCAATTGAGATGTCTAGCACAGAAACATGTTGAATTCCTAAAACATAGCCAAGATAAGAACATGCATGTGAGAATTCTTTGAAATCAAACTCAAATTGTGATCAAATGGACATGCATGCATAGAATGCTCTTCTTTCTATCCTTCAAACTCAATTCTCATGATAAAACACTTAAACCTCTTGAATTCATGCATTACTTGACTCAATTACATAACTAAAGTGTTGAATTCTTACTTTAGGTGTTCAATTCCTTGAATTCTGGTGAGTCCTGGCTCAATTTCTCCAATTTCCCTTTAATTTTCTAGCAATTCCTCCTTTCTTTCTTGCTCAATTGCATGTTGTATGTGTTGCATTAGTCATGTTGCATTATTTAGGATTATGTATTTTTCTAATTATTTCAATTTTCTTTGGCTTGCCTTGGAGTACTAGGTGTGTATTTATTGTTTTAGCATGTTGTATATGTTAGTGTTGCCATGTCAAGCATGTATACCATAAGGCTAAGTGCTTAGTTGATATATCTCTTGAATGCCTGTGGATGAAGGCCAATTTGCTTAAATTGGGATGATTTGATAAATGTACATATGAGATCACTTTTTTAAAGTGGTACATATTCAAAACACTTTTCGAAACAAACATGAAATCAAAGCGTTTCAACTTCTGTGAATTAGTCTATACTTGCGTGTATCACATAGTGAAGATAGCATAATAATCAGAACAAGAGCATATAATGTACATAAAAATCACATCATGATTAGTAGAGGCCGATCTTTGATCGGGTGAGTGGAGTGCTCAATTCATGACCTTCCTCTCTCATACCTAAGTTACCGAGCTGAGACATTTTGGTGATGACGGACTAATGGCTTTGGCATGAGTCACGATTTTCCTAAATTTCTCAAAAATATTTAGGTGGCGACGCTGAAATCTGGTAATGCTGTCCATTTTTGGCATCCTTGATTCAAAATTGATTTTTTAAAGTGATTTACCGAATTTGGACTCTTTTGTGTTTATTTATTTCATATTGCATTTGTGAAATCAGATTCAGAACCACGGGAGTTCGAACTATAGGGCTATCGTATCTAGGAGACTAAACCCCTCCGAGTAGCACGAAAAGTAAGCTACAGTACACCTCAGTATTGTTACCCTCGAGCAAGGGCCACATTAATAGAGACCGTGGTATTGTTGCCCACGAACAAGGGCCACGTGCATATTGGCCACGATATTGTTATCCCCGAGCGAGGGCCACATGAACATAAGCCACGGTATTGTTACCCCCGCGTGAGGGCCACTTGAACTAAGGATGCCAAAAATACATTTTAGAAAAACTGGACAATGATTCATGATTCACAAATAGTATTTCATAAAACAAATCATATCATTTCAGTTAGAAAATACTTATAATCAAGCATAACTTTAGAGAGTTGTTACTCACAGACAACTCCGGTAACAGAATAGATCACTTGGACAAAACAAATCAAGAAAGCAGGTTCTAACACGTGACCTACACAAACAAATGACAGATACGCTTGAACATTTGCCCCAAAAGTGCTTAACTTATCATTCTTCTCTCTTAGCGTGTGCTTCTAACTCTTATCCTCATTATTGTTACTTAATCATGGCATAAGAAGGCTTTAGATGTAATGAGGATGCAATGATACACTTGGAAAACACTTAGTAACATTTCTGAAATAGGGCAATTCACTCGAGCACCACTTTGATCGCTCAAGTGGACCCCTTGGTCTGCAAAACTTCTGGAAGCTCACATTTTACGCTCGAGCACAACTTTGGTCGCTCAAGCCAAGGCTCAAAAATAAGAGTGGTCGTTCGAGCGCAAGTTCCAACACTCAACTCTACAAAAGTACTAGGAGCTCTCCTTCTTCGCTCGAGCACAAAGTCTACTACTCGAGAGAAGAGTGCAGATTCTAGAATTTCTAGATTGCTCTGTAAGCTCCAAACTTCACAGCCAAGACAAGAACATGCATGTGAGAATTCTTTGAAATCAAACTCAAATTATGATCAAATGGACATGCATGCATGGAATACTCTTCTTTCCACCCTTCAAACTCAATTCTCATGTTAAAACACTTAAACCTCTTGAATTCATGCATTAATTGACTTAATTACATAACTAAAGGGTTGAATTCTTACCTTAGGTGTTTAATTCCTTGAATTCTAGTGAGTTCTTGCTCAATTTCTCCAATTTTCCTTTAATTCTCTGGTAATTCCTCCTTTCTTTCTTGAATTCTCTCATCACACTTTAGTTCTCCCTCTCTCATGGTTTTAGTCTCAAAGATGTTGAAATGAGGGTGTGGTGAGATATTCGAGCATCAAATTAGCCTTATATAGGCTCAATTAGCATTAGTTAGTTATGTTAAGTTAAGGCTAATCCATTGTTTTTATTTTATTCTAATTATTTGATTCCGAATCAAATTCTAATTAAAATTACCATAAAATTCTAAAAATTCTAACTAACACATAAGAGGAGTCAATTTCGCTTTCGGATGTCGATAAGACTTTCAATTCACATAATGAAACAGAAACACAGACAGATACAATAGCATATAACACACATATAACACACAATTAACACCTGTTTCCATCATAATTACTTATTAAGCATTCTTAAGTAAGGTTTATAAGATAATCACAGATCAGGGTTTTTATATCTCTTTATCTATTTAAACAGAAAATTCGCACACAAATGAACTTCGAGGTTCCAACACAATTTTTGGTTTCGAGATAACACCTCGACAATCCAATCCACTATCATCATCGATATCTACTGAGAAAAGTGGATAAACATAGTGTAGACACCCCATTTTTGACCGTCTTCAAGACTTGGATGCCATCGTTTGAACACTCGATGATCATCCATGCTCGTGTTCATTTTGAGTTCTTGAAGGTCTCGCCTGTGCGCCTTGCCTTGGAGCCTCTCAACTTGTCTGTTTTGTGCTTGGTTGTGGAGCAAGAGCTTGTGGCTTTATTTCTGAGGGAAGGGGGTGGCCTGCTGGCCAGCCCTATAGTCCATTGGCCAAGCCCTATGCCCATCGGTCGTGCCCTCTATCCATCGGCCATAAGTGGTGGCCGATCGACATCACTGATGGTCGGTCAGCCCCTTTAATGGTCGGTCGGCCATTTCTTTTAGCCAAGGCCCTTTTCTTTGCTTTTGCAGATATTTTGTTGCCAGCTGTGCCAGGTGGTGAGCACAGAATGCATCCCCCATACACGTGTATGGAGGGATTACACCAAGTTTCTAGCTTGTCCAACAAGCTTGAGACTTGGATTTCTATAAGAGGGGAGGCTCCTCTCCCCTTTCAGAGGTTCTGAAAATTTGGATTAGGGCAATACATCTCCCTCTCTCTCTCTATATTTGCACTAGTTTTGTGCTCAAAAGTGTCATTTCTTCACACTTTTGC